TATCCAGCTTTCCGCTGGTTAGAGAACACGACACACACACACACATCATGACTCAAATAGCATGCTGAGGAAGGTAGGACAGCCATGCTTTGTGCAGAGTGGCATGCTTCACTGCGGAGAACACGCATGAGGGACATTGTCTTGATTTTTTCTCTGGGATACTCAGGTGTGTTGGGAAATGAACAGACCAGCTGGCTTTGCACAACTTGGTGGAATATTGATGCTTGATAAGGCAGATATCGTTGGGTACTTGTGGGAGAATGCTACTGGCACCATTAGTACTGGAGCTCTGCGCTGGCTGCTGAAGATGGGGATGGAGCATTTATGGGAATGCCCCGAGTGCTGTGATGTCAGTTCTTGAATCAACTGAACTCAACTTGGTTAAGATTCGACATCACCACATTCTGGATATATCCATACTAGCTCCGTCTTCCCTTCTCAAGAGCCAGCAAAGAGTTTCCATACTGATGATTGTCACTTTAACTACTTGCTATGCTTTTTCCTTGAGTCTCGTGTGGTGCTCAGAGCCCGTAGACACTCCCTGCTGCTCTATGCTCTCCAGATACCAGTTTTCAATATCCTCCATTTTACTTGTTACCTTGTCCCACAGTGGAGATATCACCTTTGCCTTATGCAGCTGCAGTGTGCCCTCAAGTGGGGTCAGTCCAGCAAAACTATCAGCCTGCTCATTGCCAAACATGCCTACATATCCTTGAGCTCAGAGTTCAAACTCCAATGGTACCAGTAACAGAATGATATTTTTTTGTCTTTGACCTTTTTTGAGTGCCTGTTCATTTCCCACAACACGTGATCCCCTGAAGAAAATATCCAAATAATGCTAGCTAACTGGCACAGAGCACAGCTGTCTCCACTAATGACTCACAATACCACTGTCACTTTGTAATGCCAGGTTTGATCCCAGCTGCAGGCAATTTTTTGCCTTGCGTTGGTTTTGACAGTGGTATTGACAGCCGACTGTTAAAAGGCATTGGCAATCTGAACATAAAATGTGCCTAGAAAAACCACAAAAGCCAAAAAATGTTGCCACTTGTTCTGCAACTCAGACTGTGAGGCTCTTAGCTACAGCTCATTTAGCTTATACATAAATTCAGCACGGGTCCAGTAGTTAGATGAAATCTGGTTAATTGCTGCATTGTGTACCCATGGTATGTGAGACTATATGATCTCGTCGGTCAGCCTGTTGTTAACATAAAGAACTAACTAGTCTTTGTAACTATACATGTAGTATCACATACCCGATGTACAAATAGTGTGGAATGGGCCCTTTACTTTGACCCAGCATGGTTTCCATGTGGGTTCCAGGCCTCAGTTTTAAAGAACAAAGAATAGACCCACTGCCCCCCCCCCCCCCCCCAACAAGCATGTTACAGGAAATGACTAATTAGGAATGTTTCCTTCAAAGTCAGAGTGCATCTGTCTGAGAGGCAAGGAACCAACAGTCTGCATACAGATATACTGGGTCTGTGAAACGGATTTGCATGCAAAAGTCAGTTTCTGGATCAAGACTAAAGTCCAGGAGTAGACAAACAACCAGAACTTTACGCCCGAGTGTACAGCAGGTGAACTCTACGAAGAAGAGATGGCATGGAGTGTAAGAAGATGGCAGTTTCTGATTACCTTAAACTTAATAAATGCTTCTAGAAGTTTATGTCAAAGACATTTTGGTGAACCTACCTGACAAAATTCTGGTCATTTTTCTTACAGCTCTCTCCATCACCTTCTTCAAAGCATACTGCTCATCATCTAACAAATTTTCTAAGCTATACACAGTTGTTATTCTTAAAGGCTGGTAGACTGCTTCAGCCAGCTTTTCCATCTTTCTTTGGTCACCTTCTCCATCCTGCCAGTCCTGGACAGCAGTGATGTTTTCCACGCTGTCCTGGTTATGGTTACTATGAGAACATGACTCGGTTGTATTGTGATATGACTCACACAGAATCAGGAATGTTGTCAAAGTGAACACGAAATGAAGACTGTGCACTTTCATTGCACTTGTTTAATGTCAAGATACAAACTGACTTTAGCTACCTTGATTCTGAAAGAAAATAAAAAAAGAAGCATACAGCTCATTTTATCTTTTAGTAAGGTCTCAGTCAAAAACAGAATTTAAAGAAAGTCTAAAGAGGCATTTTTCCTTATGACTGATAAGACTGGATTCATCATCTTCCGCACTGTATCCCCCAGTGGAGCGTAGACCCTCAGCCAACTCACGCTTATCATTTGTTATTGCATGCAGCTCACTCCATGTTCTCCCTACTGTTTTAACTTCATTCTCTAAATCCCTTCTCCATGTGTTCTTTAGTCTGTCTTTATTTCTATGCCCCTGTAGCTTCCAGTATATTTTGGGACCGTTATTCGGAAGATAGCCGAACTGTGTTTTGAGAAGCTAAAAACACTGGCCTGAACTCATGTCAGACATTGACAGTTGCAGGCAATAGAGCAAAGTGGAGAAATTGAATGCAAACCCTGTGTGATGTCTAATGACACACAAAGGATGATTACTTGAAGAAAAACTTATGTCTTACAGCATAGACCTATAGGGAGGAAAGAAAGGGAAAAAGGGAGGAAAGAAAGGGAAAAAGGGGGGCACTCGTTTAATTATTAAAGCATGGACATTCGTATGTTAACCATTTGTAAAAATAAAAACCATTGCATTCTCCACTTCAGCTTGTAAATGTTAGTCTTTCACATTTTAATTATGGCAGCAAAAATGAACACAGCTAGTAGCTACTCATAAATGCCTTAATTTAGCTGATTATTATACGAATTATATTGCAGTTAACCTTGAGTACAAGGGGTGAGCCGCAGTCTTGAAACCTGTACTCACTTCAGTAGTTAGTTTGTTTAACAATACATACATTATTAAACATACAAGCCATTTTCTCCAGAAAAAAAATCACTGCGATCTAACAGGCAGTTTTCGAGAAAATGGGTTGCAAGTGTGTTTATCAATTGCTGAACGAATAATAGTTACTCAACTGCGACTTCGTAAAAGAAAGTTTACGGAAATTATGAAATAAAAAAAAAACTTGTGTTTATCATCGCAAGTTTAACGTCTACGAAGTAATAATTTTACACAATAACATTAAACTTAATTCAGGCCCTTTACTATAACAAGTATAAACCTGTGAAAGATGACATTCAAGTTTTATCATGAGTACATCCTAAAAAAGCAACACACAGTAACAGCACTCGCAGACTTTTATTTTATTTACTCGATCTTCTCTTAGTTAACTATTTCTGACTGATACATCTTTTAAATTTACTCGTCTGCGGCGCCGCATTTTCGAATCACAACTCAACCTTTTACCTTCTCTATTAGTTTATGATAAACTTTGGCTCCTGGGGATAAAACGATTCTCGTGTATTTAAAATAATAATTACGATATCTTGTAGAAACTCCTGAAGACTGATCAATCGAGTCAGTATAGAGCAAACACGTAAAGCTATGGCCTGTAGTCGGATCATAAGGGAGGTAAGGCGTTATTGGAAACGGAACGGCAGGCAGGTATATCGGCCGCCGCAAGTCGAGGGAGGTACCGACTTGTAACCTTCTACATCTTTTTTATTTAATTTTATTTTCTCTGCCTGTAAAAGATATTGTAATTTCAAAAAGGATTTTCATATCTTTTATGTATGTAAAAGTGGCTATTTCATATCTCTAGTGTCATTAGTGATGTTTACACATATTATTATTTATTTATTGTTGTTATTATAGCTGCTTATTATTATTTATTAACTGATTATTATTATAAATGTGTATAGTCACAGTGAGCATGCGATATCGTACCCTACTTACCGGCACACGACTGCGGGAACTACTAGCCGGGTATAACCGTTATGGGTACCGCAGATGTGACTACTTGGACCGTATGGATTTGCCCATTTAGTTAGCTTCACCATCGTCGACGATCAGCTTATTGCAGAGTAGTCAAAACTGTAGGTAGGTATCAGCCCAGAGAGGGAAAAACAATGAGCATATGATGGGGTCCATAAATGTATCAACAATCTTAGTCTCTGGTCATAACATACATAATTTATGCTTAGTCTTAGTCAAGGTTTCAACTTCACTGCAATTGGGTTAGTTTTCCCATTTATTATGCTATGATGACAATACCAGCTTGAAAGTAACAAAGCAAAAAAAAAAAAACTACCAAAAGAAATTATGTTTACATTGTTCATTGTATCTTATTACCTTTTTGTCTGTCAAATTCCTAGCACCTTGGTCCAACCTATTCATGCTCCATCTTTTGATGCAGCAGCCATTGCAGTGTCACTGCTGACATGTTCCAACTAGAATGGGTTGACAACATCCAGATGTCACACCTCAAGAAACGTTCTTGGCTGTACACACTTTTGGAGATGCCCGGGTGAAAGGAAATGAAAGAGCAGACAGACTGGCTATGACAGCAGTGGTTGGTGGAGGAAGAAGTAAGACAGGGTAGACAGACCTACTGAGTGCGCTGCGTTCTAAAGACTTTGAAATGAAGGAGTCAGAGACAATAAGCCGCCCGTTGGAGATATTGAACATGGAGACACTAAGATGGCTGCTGAATTAAAGGATGGAGCACAATTGAGTCAGTTTGATGGATGTGCTAGGATGTTTATGTTTATAACAAGTAACTAATACTTGAATCATTGAATTATTATAACAGTTAACTATTCTTTTTCTGCAGCTGGTTTTTCTGTGTCCTTTGCTAGGTGTTGTCACCAGGCGAGCCCACTGACACCCAACTCATTGCATTATTTAAATGTTGAATATTATTTATTCTGTAGTTGTTATATCTGCGACTTTTACTGGATGTTGTCACTATGCAAGCCCACTAACACCCGTGCCATTGCATTATCATTAATGTTAAATAATGTGTATCTTAAATAATGTTTATTCAGTAATAGTTATTTTTTTTTTTAAATTTCAGATTTCCTACATAATTAGCTTGTAAACAAGAGCACTGGTGCTCAGGTTTCAATATTGAACTATGAGTTTCAAGAATATGGTCAGTGGCTGCACGATGGTAGGCATGCTGCAGTTGAGCTGTACAATAGGAACTATTGTGTTGATCACCCCAACACTGCCACTCATATTCTTGTCTCCAAAGCTTGGTCGCCGCGTGATAGATTTTCTCATCAAACTGTGGTTTCTCTTGGCTGTGGTAAGTGCATTGAAACAAAATTGTGCTATTAATATGCTGTGGGTAACAGATTATTTAACTCTTTTAGTCAGATTTCTTTATCATGCTGAAACTAAATGTAATATACACATACACACACACACACACACCGTTCTTTGTTTAATACACACTGATTATAGCTGAACACACTGTATGTTGGTTGGGATGCGCTAGTGAATATCAGAGAGAATGCCGGGTATACATATTTGAGGTGTGAGCCCATAGAGATGCAGAAGCTGAATGCTGACCTGAAGGTCTTCGGTTTGAACTTGCGTCAAAGCAGATTAAAAAAAAAAATTTTGGTCAGGCTCCCAGGTTATATAAACTTAGTTGTGTTTCCTTTACATGACTTTACAGAACCAACTCAAGCAATTTTATTTTGGGGTCTGTTAATGATTTTACTAGTCAGTTTTCCTTTCATAGTTTCTCACTGTGCTTGTGTACACTCAATACCATTGTTGAAATCAGCAAACAGCGGTCTGCTGCTAAAGGGCTCCACAGCTGAAATCAGACTGGGATAATCTTGGAATTACAAACCGTGTTTGTAGCGTTAAGCCATAGGTGCTGACTGGTCAGTCCAGCACGCTTCTTTTTTGTGTTCACTGGTTGTAGACTCCGGCGGAAAGTTCTGGTTGTTCATTCAACTCTGGACTTGAGAATTGTTCCAGAACCTGAGTGTTGCCTGCTCGTCTGCTTTACAGATCTGACTTATTTGTATGAGGACTGTTTGTTCCGTGCCTGTAAAGGGAAACTGCCCATTTAGTCGTCTCTCACAACATGCTTGTTGGGGAAGTAGTGGGTCTGTTCGTGTTTTTTCCCACACTGGGTCCCTGGAACCCACACAGGGAAGTCTAGCACTAAAATGGGTACCAGGAAAAGTAATGGTAAGTAAAGTGACCATCATTACCCATCTAATGCAGATTGGTCTATCACAAAAAAATATGTGACGAGCACTAAAAGCTTTGCATCACCCATCGGATGCCGATTGGTCTATATAAATATAGGTCTAGCACTATACGCCCGAGGTGAAGGTTTCCAGTTTTGTGTGTTTGCTGAATGTCTTCAACTTGCAGATGTTTGACAGTTTGCTATAGGCACTAGATGATATTTTGATTCTATATGATAATTAATCAATGCAAAATATGTTCATTTACGTCTGATACCAGTTATAAGTTACTATTTTTTTTAAACTACACATTAGCCTCTTCTCTTTTTTTCTAATCAAAACAATTACAGGCCTTATATGAACTACTGATGGGAGTCAAAATAGTCATTACTGGAAAGCCATCTAGACGTGGCGCAAGTTGCCTCATTCTGGCTAACCATCGCACTCGGCTTGACTGGTTCTTCCTCATGTCTTACATTTGCCGTTACAGTGCCATTGATCAGTATAGAATCTCTTTAAAAGAATCTTTGAAGAAAGTCCCTGGAGCTGGTAAGTACCAGTTTTATGCTTTTTTGGGGTGGGGGGAGGGTCTTGTTTATTGGGGTGTACAGGCATGTGTATGTATGAATGGATGGATGGATAGCAATAGGCATAATGTGGTATAGTATGTATATTTTTTAATTTGTCATCTATGCTTTTGTGTTTGTACTTAAAATTCTGACTATGTATGTTGCTAAATGAACTTAACATGCTTTATATACAAAATATAATTGCTGTGGGGAAATGTCTGAGTAAAAGATGACCCTGAGTGCCCAAGTTGTAAGCCTTTTAAAATAAAGTTTGGTTGCTTGTTCGCTCGCATCAGACAGCTCCATACAAACTGAGCATTTATTCATTTTATTCTGTCTGGAGATTGAATTGGTCTTTTGATACTGGGATACCTAAAATCTGAGAACAATAAATATCACTACCCTAGGCTTAATACTCGCCAGTCCATTTGTGCCGAATCATTACCTGGTTAAAACCTTATATATATATATATATATATATATATATTATATATATATATATATATATATATATATATATATATATATATATATATATATATATATATATATATATATATGCAAATGGAAACACTAAGAGGCATAGGAAGACCTAGAAGAAGATGGATTGAAGGAGTTGCTGACAGCCTACAACATCACAGAATGACACCATGACAGGCAACCAGACAAGCATTGGCTCGGTTACCTATCATCTGTTACACTGCAATATCTAGTAGCACAAAGCTGGTTTTCGCAAGAAAAGAAGGATGTGAAGTTTCAAAACCTGTCTTGAATACCCTGGTAGTTTTTTTTTTTTTTAAGCTTGAAAGGGATAAAAGCGCTTCAACACAGTTCCCTCAGAGGTAGTATTTTATACCAGATTGGATGAGTCTCAACACCAACCTCACCTCAGTCGACATAAATCATTTTTAAGTTTAAATTCACCTAATCATGACTGCAGCAGACTTGAGAATTGAAGCTCAGCTGAGATTAGTCATACAGTTTTTCTTAAGAGCAACAGATGAGAATGTTTGACCACCTGATAAGAATGCCCTGGTACCAACTGGAACAGAAAGCCATGCAGAAGAAATATAATGAATACAGAGCAAGGGGAAGACCACATAAAATATGAAACAACATCATGAAGAACAGCCTTAAAGAAGGTTTAAACAACGGATCAACATCATGGCATATGGGTAGTAACCCATAAGTGCTCTGTTCTTCTTCTAACTGAAGTATGAATCCGAAGAAGCTCAGCACAGTGCACAGGCTCTGTAGCACCGGCGAGGATCCTGAAATACTTTAGGTACATTTTTAACTCCAAATTTTTGCCTAGGCAGCGCCGTTAGGCTACTCTTTTCGATTTCCAACTGCCAAGAGATTTTTAACCTGCGCAACAGTGCGATCTCACTACCCAAAGACCAGGGAGAATTACTAAAAGTCCAAGACTGTTGGAAAAAATCCCAGTCCTTACCAGGTATTTAACCCAGAAACTCTAGCACTCGAGGTGGACACTATGCCTCAAGACCATGCAGCCCCCCAGCCTTAAAGAAATGAACAACTGATACAGTGCATGAGAAGAGCACTCAGAAGACCCCTAGACCCCCCCCCCCCCCCCCCACCCCAGCACTCTGATGCCCTAACTAGAGGAAGAGAAGAAGAAGAAGAGGAATCCAGAGGATTTACAACAAAACTCTTTATGAACACAATCATTTGCTGTACAAAAGTGAACAAATCAAGTTATCTGCATCTAATTGTCAACACTCCTGTCCCCTTACTGTGACAGACAATATGATACTTAGACTCTCAATAACAACAAAATCCACTTAGGAGGGAAATAATCTTTTTTCTAGTATAAAAAAATGTATTCTTTATGCAAAATATTGAAATACAAGTACACTTATGAAAAACCATAAGGCAGCTGTCTGCGTAGTGACAGATCAAACTAGCTATGAAATTTGATCTCACTTATTGATTTATGGTAGAGTTGTGTTCATGTGTGCATACAGATGTGTAATGAATTAGATGTAACTGCTATATTTGTTCGATGCTATCATGTTTCAGATCTGTCATCTATGAAATGAGTACCAGGTAATGCCCAGAGAAGTAAAGGCGGTGGACACATTAACCATCAAGTGCCATTTGGGCTGTAAAAAATATATGTCTTGCCCAATGCATCATAAATCATGAAAAGGCTTTTGACTTTATACCGTATAATCAGTATGCACTAAAGATAGGAAATGGGTCCTTTATTTTTAACCCAGTGGTGGAAATAGTAAAAGCCTTGATCTTCTTCTTGTGAATATTTGCCAGGTTGGGCAATGCAGTGTGCTGGCTTTCTGTTTCTGAAGAGAAAATGGGAAGAAGATAAGGACCACATATCTGATTGCATTAATTACTTCTCCAAAGTCAAGTCTCAACCACAGGTAATGTAGATGATGCTAGATTGTGTCTGTTATCTTGTCTTCTCACTAAATTGTGTCTATTGTCTTTGTTGTTAGATTTTGTCTGTTATCTTATTGCTAAGTTGTGTCTCTTTTGTTGCTAAAATGTGTCTGTTGTCTTGTTAGATGGCATCTATTGTCCTGTTGCTAGATTGTGTCTGTTGTCTTATTGTTAGACTGAGTCTGTTTTCTTGTTGCTAGATTGTATATGTTGCCTTATTGCTAGATTGTATCTGTTGTCTTGTTGCTAGATTGTATCTGTTGTCTTATAGCTAGATTGTACCTTGTCTTGTTGCTAGATTGTGTCTGTAATCTTGTTTAGGAATGCCATCATAAAGCTAGAATGCCATCACAATGCTCGATTGTATCTGTTGTCTTGTTTAGCCAAGAGCTACAGGCAACTGAAGACAAAGTGACTGACTGATGTGCAGTGATGGGTGCTGTCATCAGCCCAGAAAAAGCTGTTGATTTGTGGTGCTCTCTGGACAATAGAATTGTAAGAGCTAATGTTCCAGCCCTCACAATTAATGACATAAATATCAAAAGAGAAATCAAACTGAGGTACCTGTGTATCATTTTTGATATAAACATCTCCTTCAGTGATCATGTAAAGGCACACTCATACTCGGCTGCACAAAAGACACCTCCTGCAATGCGCCATGCGTTATGTCCTGGGTTTGCCGACGGTGACTAGCAGATACAAAGTGGCACAAGTCAAGACTTACATGAGGGTATCAGCAGACGTTAACCACCCATTGCACAAAGCTATATACGACACAAAAGGGACGCGTCTCAAAAGAGGCCGCTCTTGGATGGCAAAGGCTGAGGATTTGATCCAGCAGGTAAGTGACCTAGACTTTATCAGGCACAGAAAAAAATGGATGAATACACCAGTAGACATGCATGGCATCTCTAAGGTTGTCATCACACTCGGAAGGTACTGTCGGGATCAGATTCCTGCGGCCATAGACACAGAAGTAAGGGAACTGATAGATCAGCATTCAGACCCAGAAGATATCATCATCTACACAGATGGATCCGTGAAGCGCAGATCAAGGTCAGCATGGGCATACACAGCGCAAAGAAGGGGGAAAACAATACATGAGGACAGCGGTGCTTACCAGACAACCACGTCAAGCATGACCATGGAAATAGCCGCTGCTTCTAGAGCTTTAGCATGGGTATCCGAGCAAACCGCCACACAAGCAGTAATTGTCTCAGACTCAATGAATATGCTTCAGAAGATAGCAACAGGCAGTATGCGCTCTGAATGGATAGAAAGCATTCGGAAATCGCACTTAACTTCCGTTACCTGGATCTACACACCGGGTCATGCGGGCGTAAAGGGAAATGAGCGAGCGGACCAACTGGCAAGCACTGCACTGATGATTGTGGCAAAAAGCATGGACAGAGCAGATATCGTCAACGCTGTACGTACTGGGCTAGTGGATAATGACGAATCCCTGACACTAACACGATTGCGTGACATGGGAGTTAAGCATGGTGAAGCACGTCTTTGCCGTGGCAAATGTTTTTTTTTTTTTTTTTTTACTTCTGCCAGGCGGTGGCCGTCACATTTTTGCTCCATTTGTAGACTGGAAGCATAGACTTTCGTCGCCCAGCTTCTGAGTTGAGTGCATGGTGTGACACTGTGAGCTACGTGTGTTTTTCGTTGGCACAGGAGTGGAGCAACTATGGGGTGACCCGTTTTCTATGAAGCTGAAACTAGGATTACCAGATTACCAGATGTAAAGGAAGTTGCGATAAAATACCAAAAAAGGACTCATTGCTCTCAAGATTATGGCAGCAATAAACATGGAACAAAGAATGCTGTTCACAGTGTTCCAGTATGTTATCCTGTCAGTGATAAATTTTGGACTTGGATGCTTACCATATCAAAGGGTTGGCTGATGAAATTCAAACGCATACAGAAACCCCATGCAGATAATTCTGGGATGTAAAAGAGACACCCTGGTAGTATGTATGCGATATATACTTGCACTGCCTATTGTTGCAAATAGGCTCAAAGTTCTGCAAGCAAAGTCATATCTCGGAGTAGCTGCACCTCCTGCATGAAGCCCTGAGGAGAGCTAAGAGTCAGACTGAAAAAAGAAGGTCTTGGAAAGTTCCGACTAAAGACACAATTAGATGTGTGCAGGTTTGACAAATTTAGGTGAGGAGAGGAGTAAGTCCAGTGTCTGAGCAAGAATAAGACTTGTGCAGGATTCTAATCACTTTAGGTCATGAGTGCAGAGACTGGCCAGCTGGTGCTGCAGAATCAGAAGTTCAGCAAATAATTCATGGCAATTCCCGGCCAGATGATGTGATTTATAAAGATAGCTCTGTGTTGAGAGGGGGACAAAGTACATGGGGGTTCATAGCAAATGCTCATCGCTTAGTGTGACAGAGCCTGGCATTTAATTTCACAACGGCTAGTTTGAGAATGGAGGTGGAGACAGTCACTGCTGCCTTCCACTGGATTGAGAATCAACTGTGCATACATGTCATAATTGTAACTGACTCACAGCATTTGTTGAGAACGGTAGAGATAGGCATGCTTAGTGCAGAGTGGCAAGCATCACTTCAGAGGTTCTGGGTAGTTAGCGTCCTTTGGATGTTTTCTGAAGGTCATGCCGGTGTTTTTAAAAATGAGCAGGCAGATAGACTGACCAGTTCTGCACCACTTGGTGGTAAATTGATATAGGATAAGCTAGATGTTGTGAGGGCCTTTTGGGAGCGAATGAACAGTGAGAAGGGACAAATAGATGATGACAATCTGAGGAGAATGGTGCTGCGGGAAGTTACCAGAGGATCTGGCTAACGCTCAACATTCAAGGGAAAGGCAAGACTGTTGTACAATCAGGCAGTTACTGGTACCAGTAGAATGAAAACTCTTCACTTGCTGCTGAAGATGGGTACAGAGCGCTTATAGGAGTGTCATGAGTGCTATGACGCAGACTCTTAATTCAGTATTCAGCATTGCTATATTGTGTCCCTTTTCTTGCCATATTGTATCTGTTGTCTTGTTATTACTCTTTCCTTTGTTATTTTTTTTCAACAATGTCTTGTGTCTGTTTGCATAAAGATTTCCACCTGAATTTGTTTGCCTCAGATAAGACAGATAAGAGCTTTCATCAGGAATATATAAAAAACACACAGCAGCAGGCTGAATGGTTAGGAAAGTGGTCCTGTCAGGCAGGAGACTACTTCTTCAGCTTCTTCTCCGATCCTGTTCAGCCTTTCAGCATCCACTTTTGAAGAGGCATCGGGTTTGCATCTTGGTGTGTGCTAAATATATGCTGGTATTTACAGCCTCAGTTATTCCATCTGTGTATTATTTGCGTGGTCAGCCTCTAACTGGGCTGTCTGTGGTGTATTACCTGTTTTTCTGCAGGAGACCCAGGTTCCTTGATGACTGGGTTGCCCTGTTTGACAGGGCTGTCTGTAGTGTATTACCTGTTCTTCTGCAGGAGACCCAGGTTCATCGATGACTGGGTCACCCATTGGCTCGCTGGTAGATGACTTCATCACCGGTTGGGACAATCTTCTGGTCTTTCTCCTGTGATAGCATGGCCTTTTTCTGTCTGGGACATAAATAAAATCCTAACTTGCACAGTCCATGATGATATCACTAGCTCTGCGGCCCTAAATTCTCAGGCTCAAAGACCCCCTCTCCCCTCACCTATACAGCAAAAGTAGTAAATTCAAGCAGTATATTAAAGACAGACCAATAAGGAGAAAGACAAAGACATCTAAAGATGTGTACTAATCAGCTGAAACTTACTTTTGTTGTTGCCTTTGTTTTCACCAGTTCCTGCTGTTTCCAGAGGGAACAGACATGTGTCCCAATGCTATCAGAAGAAGCAACACATTCGCAGAGAAGCAAGGCCTTCCAAACTATGAATATGTTCTCCATCCTCGTACAACAGGTTTTGTTCATTTTGTGACAGAGATGAAAAAAGGTGTGCTATTCTGTTGTTCTTGTTGCTTTTGTTGAATTTTCATTAATGTTTGCATATTTGTTACCACAGTTCTTTGCATAATGAAACAAAGAGCAAAATAGAGGAAACAGTTTATAAAAAAATATGAGGTAGCCAAAAGGGTGTAACACACTAAAATATCTAGGAGTTACATTTGATATAGGACTGTCTTTCAGAGACCATACTGATGCAGTTATCCTTAGAGTTAAGAGAAACTTTGATGCAGTGAATGCTATGGTCTGAGGCGGATGTAGAACAAGAGATGTTATACACATTAATTCAGTTGCTTCCTTATTATGTCAGTCATTGAATATGGTCCGGGCTCTGCTGACTGTGTCAAAGACTGTTGGAGAAATTGGAAGCATACAGAATGAGGCTACGGAAACCTTTCTGGGATGCATAAGAGACACATCTGATGTGTGAATGAGACATATCTTGCCTGTGCCAGCCATTGCTGACAGACGTGATATAATGCACGCTGGAAACTATCTTAGATTTGCAAGTGATGCAGAACATATCCTTCATAGGGACTTGGACACTGTGAAGGTGACAGACTGAAGAGGGTCAGATCCAGGATGGCCCAGACTGAAAAGATAATCAGCAATGTGCAGCAGTAAAGATTAGCCAAGCAGAAGATTGGGTAGAGGTAACGGAGAGCAACAAAAAAAAAGTACACAAAGGGGTAATTATCTTGGAAAGAAAATGTATGGAATGGGCAGCAGGACGTGCAGACGCAGTGGTTCAACAGCTGATAGAGGAAAACTCTAGGCAGAAGATGTCATTATATACACTGATGTGTCAGTGGCTAGGGGATAAAAGAGTGGATGGGGCTTTGTTGCAAAAGCATTGGGCAAAAGGGTGACTGAGAGAGCATGGCATATGACATTACCACATCCAGCATGAGAATGGAGGTTAAGGCAGTAACTGTGGTGAAAATCTCACAATCACGCATGTTGTCATAGTACTGGATTTGCAAAGCCTGCTGAGGAAGGTGGAGTCAAGTTTTCTTCATATTTAATGGATTGCATCAATCCAGAGGTTGCCGGGGATGAGAGCCACATGACTATTTTTCCTCGGCTGTGTAGTTTTTTTCCTTTTTTTTCTTCAGAATTAGCAGACATATAGTTTAGCTGCACTTGCCACACTTGTGTGTGTGTGGGTGTGGGGGGGGGGGGGGGGGGGTGAAGTTAAATAAAGCAGAGATGATCTTTTGCCTGTTGGACAATGGACAAGATAACAGTTAGAATGAGTAAAGTAAAAACCAGAACCTAGAGGGGGTGATGCAGTGGGGGGTGCTTGCTGCCTGTGGTCACCGCTGGAGACTCAGATGAAAGGAAAGATGAGTGGTTATGTAGATGATAACAGGTACTATTAGTGTGGAGACTCTTCACTGGCTGACGCGATCGGGGATGGAGGTAATATGGGCTTGTCCTTATTGCTGTGGCATTGAATCTTTATCCAGATCAACTCAGATGCTGATACAATTTGTAACTTCGATAATTTGTTCATTCTGTCTATATGTACATAATTTGTTTCTATCCCAGAACTAGTATGTTATATTTCATCATCATCATCATTGTGAATCAGGTCATTCTCAAAATGTTGCTGTCATCACAGTCTGCCTCAAAGAAGTTTAATCTCTCACTAGCTCTCCCGCCGTGCTTGCATTTTCATATCCCAGGAATCATGTATTTCCTTTGACCATCATCATGTTGGTCAACCTCTGCCCCTCCTTCCTGGTATCGTGCTTTCTGCTGTTTCTTTTTTTCCAGTTCGCCATAGTGCTGATATGGCCAAAATATTTCAGCTTCTGAGACAAGATGCTGTTTATTAGCCAATCTTTCTTGATGTTCAGATCTTTTAGAATGTCAGTATTTTTTGGGGGTGGCTGGGGGGGGGGGGGGTCCATGTGGTATTCTGAGAATCATTATGTAGCATTGCAGCTCAAAAGCCCCTATTTCTTTCCTTAAGAACTGGGAGAAAGTCTACGACTCACATCCGTATGTTGCTACATGACAAATGCATGCTCTCAGAATTGTAACTTTGATTTTCTTGCTGGTGCTTAACCATAGACATTTAATGATTTTTTTTATCTTTTCATTTTCATGGCCATCCTCCTTTTGACTTTAGTCCAACAGTTCCATTGCTGTTTATAATGGAGCCTAAATTTTCAAAGTTTATTTAATTTTGTTACATGTAGTGTTTTTATTGTAATATCAGAACTGATGTCTTTTATTTCAGCTCAAATTCTGGATTCTGTTTTGGATGTTACTGTGGGGTATCCCAAAACTTTAATTCAAAGTGAAGTACAGACGCTGAAAGGAAAGTTTCCAGAAGAGATCCACTTCTATGTAGAAGATCACCCCATTGACACTCTCCCTGACTCTGAGAAGGAGCTAGAACTCTGGCTGACGAAACTCTGGAGTGCCAAGGAAGCCAGGCTTAATCGATTTTATACTGTGGGACATTTTGAAACAGATACAAGTGATTATGATATTTCTGCCATTCCCAAACCAATTTCTGAAGTGGAGTTTAAGAAAACATTATATGGAATCATTTTATTTTGGGTGATATTTCTCATTACTGTTTCTGTTGCTTTATACATTTCCAGGATGTTTCAGATATACTGCTTGCTTTCGGGTTTAACCTATGTGTTAATATACATAAGACATGGTGGAATAGATAGAGTCTTATATTCGTCAGTGAAACAAAATCACTGAGAGTATAAAGCAGTTCATATCTGAAATAATGTTTTTTTTTTTTTTTCAATTCATATCAACCAGTTGAAGGAATTTGATTATCGTTACAGCAGCACTTTCATTTGGTTTATCGAGATTGTTGTAATTTTTGTAATTTGCTGATGTTTGCATGGGAAAGTCAGGTCTAATGTATTGCATTTAAACAGTAACATTAGAATATTTTGGGTACATTAAATTAAATATGGGAGTATCCGTGGCGTAGTGGCTAGACGCTCGAGTGGGGATCGGAAGGTCGTGACCCCCAGGTCAACCCAGCCTTGAGTGGGTACCGGGTGTAGTCCCAGGAAGTAAAGGCGGCCGGTGTGATGATGACCACATCATCCATCATGTGCCGATTGGTCTATAAAAATATAGGTATTCGCCTAAAGGCGTGGAAAAGGGAATGATGAAATGAAATATAATACGTGATCATTTATGCCTAACTGCAAGTTCTAGTGCTGGTCTAAGAATTGGTTTAAGATTTTTTTGAATTGTTAAAGAAGAAAAGACAGTCAAAAAGGAAACATCATATGTTTTGACCTAGAATATGTAAAGACTAAGTAAGCACTGGCAGTATATCTTATGGGAACACCTTCGCTAAGCCTGTTTTAATATTTAGTAGGGTGATCTGAATGTCAAAAGCAGTCTTTGGGAAAATTTGCAACTAACAAAACATTGCTGTAAGGAGCACCTATGGATTTGTCCGGAGTGGTGTGATGATAATCCTTCCTGATCACTTATCACTAATCGCTGTAAGGAGCGTTGGTTTGAAACCCGTTGCAATGCCTTGTTACAAAAGCATGAAAGAAACCTCAATGTGTGTGGCAGATTTAAACAGAGCATTCATTTATTAAATATGCATCATCAGTTATTCAAATAAAGTTGCTGTAGTCATGCAGGCGAGCACCTCATTACTCAAGTAGGCAGTGAATGACGTCTGGAAAAAAAAAATTGTGGTTGCTCACTAAACTAAGTGTTTACCATGTTCATTATGTACACACTGTGAACACACCTTCCGATACTGCAGTTTCTTATGAACAATCTTGAATTGTCCCAGTTGACACATTGAATTCTTTTGCCTAACAAACTTATGCTTCAGCAACAGTTCACCTGTATTGCTGCGTCAATTTTGGTGATGGTTTTTTTAAGTTGCAACCTTGAGCTTGACTCGGACATGGAAGATCTGCGATGAACTCACGTCCAGTCTGTCACTATTGACTTTGACACACTTGTTATCACACTCTGCCTGCATTCTTTGATGAATGTTTACTGGCCGATATCATTCAAATAAAAAAAAATCTCAATCATTGGTCTTTGAATCTTTGGATGGATGTCGGATCAACCTTGACATGATCATGTTTAACACGCAGTTCTTCGCTGTGGGTTATCCCCTATGGCTTGGTCTTTCTCTTGCAGAATGGCTAGCCGCCTGCCTAGAGCATTGCTCAAACTGTCTAGCTTCAGCAACAGTCGCCAGGGATCCTGTAAAGACTGCACTGCTGAACAGAATGGAGAGACCAGGAAACAAACCCATAACCTTCAGAGCATGAGGTAAACAGCTTGATCACTTCACCGTAGAGACTTTGAGGTGAAAGGTGAACATATGCAAAAGAGATGTATCTGTCTAAATGGTGAAAATGAAATGAAAATATGAATTGAATAGATGTTCTATACTTGTTTCTGGGAAAAGCAAGGCAATCAGAGTCATACTGGCTATTTTACCTTTATATGCTTCTTGGCCATTGAGTGAATGGTCACAGCATTATGGCCAGAGACTGCAAATTGCAGCCATTTCAACTGACATTGATTTGGAAAAGAAACATCAACAGGTCTGGCAAAATTAAATGTGGCAATCTTATCTGAATGATGTTTGCTGGTTGACAGTGTTGATTGCATTGGGACTTAACTCACTGAATACATTAACTCACTGAATACATTAACTCACTGAATACATAAACTCACTGAATACATAAACTCTCTGAATACATTAACTCACTGAATAAAGTAACTCTCTGAATACGTTAACTCACTGAATACGTTAACTAACTGAATACATTAACTCACTGAATACATTAACTCAACTCACTGAATACATTAACTCACTGAATACATTAACTCACTGAATACATTAACTCACTGAATACATTAACTCACTGAATACATTAACTCTCTGAATACATGGCAGCTCACCATGCATTTGTTGGTTTCAGCTGGCATGGTAAGACTTCTCTGAACACCTTTTGACCTATCCAGGTTTCACATTAACCCATTCTGTCCAGTTATTATTTTAACTCTTAAACTGTTAATTAATGTAACAACTTGTTAAAATAGAATTATTTAGAGTAAAACCTCTATGTTACTGAAAGAGTTAAAAGTGCTAAATTGTCAAATACTTGGATCACAAATAGAGATTGTGGAACTAATTTAGTGAAATTTGAACATTTCTGGACAGGGGTGAATTTAAAATATATTAAAAGAAACTTTCATTTAAAATAAATTAAAAGAATTATATATATATTTTTTTTAATTTTAAAAGCCCCTACAAAAGTGAGGCCTTAAACTGGAGCTTATTTAGCTTATACCTAAATCCGTTGCTGGAAAAATGATAATAGATATTTACTGCATTATTTTACGCAACCATTTTGTTGGGTTTAACAAGCAAATACTACATTAGATCAAGAAATAAAATATTATAAACAGTGGTTTATTAGGTAAGTGTTTTGCAGTATGGTGAGCTGTGATGGCATGGTGGTTAGCGCAGTCACCTGCTAGGGATATGAGCCAGGTTTAATCTCAAGCAAAGGCAGAATTATTGCTATGATCTTAGGGTCAACACAGCCTCATATGAATGGCACTTCCAACTTCACAGCAGACGCTGTTGCTCCATCCCTGTGCCAACAAAAACCACACAGGATGTTCCTAACTGTGCCTTGTGTGGGGGGAATAAAGGGTTTTTATTAAAATCTTACCCCAGATGATGTCACAGGACAGTCCAACATTTGAGATGATGGTAAGACTAGGTTTCCTGGCTTTCTAATGCTTTTAACAACCCCAAAACTGGCCCTAACCCAAACCCACCTACGTCCCACAAGAGAGTGCAGCCTAGGTCCCACGAATGCGTGCAGCCTATCTACCACCCCCTGAAATATTAGACTGTCCCGTGACCTGTGGATTTCCCCTATTTAGGGTAGGATATTAATAAAGCACCAAAAAAAGTATTATCACATGCAATCTGGCACTAGAAATGCAGTTCAACATCGATGGAAGCAGCAGTAACAACAGATCAGTAGTTGCACACACAATTAATCATATAAGGCACCACAATTTCTCTGGCAACAGGCCACTCACCATTTTCTGATTCTCCAGCTCACAATACAGCCAAATAATGTTAAGAATTATCTATGAATTTGTGGTGAAGAAAAGCTACGAGGAAGAAAACAACACATGTCCTGAACTAGGATGTCAGAAGGCTTAACACTTCACAACGCATAACTTGTTATAAACTTGTTATATACTATGGAAAAGCTTCACCTACTCAGTATACTCAGGATTTTAAATTTGCATTCTTTTCTTTATTTTGTGTATGCAATAAACATTATGATAGTTTACTTTTGTTTTGCTTGGTTTTAACTAGCAGTTATTTTGTTTAAAAAAATACAAAAAGTCAATTCTGTTATGTACATGGCAATTTGCAGATAATGTATAGTGTAGTCATCAGTTTAATTTGTATTTTTTTTTTTTAGTGATATTATGTTCTACTTAATCAAACAGTTTTTTTTTTTTAAAGTTATATTCTTTGTTAGACAGCTGTACTAGAGAAGTATGTATTTTTCTGTGTAAGTCTGCATTAAAGACAGTCAGCCGATTAGTGAAAAATTATGTTTTAGTTACGGGAGATGTTTTGTGGATGAATGACGAGAACATCATAGATAGATCAAAAGTGTAATGAAGATGTCTTAGAATAAAGTAACCCTCTTGCCCTGAGAAAGCCGTTTTCCTGACTTTTATGGGTTTTAGTTGACATGGTATCTTTGGACAGTACCCAGTACGCCTGCATGACAGCCTTGGTACTGGCTTCAGTTGCATTGTGTGTAGTCGTGGTGGGTATGGTTATTTATCCCCCCCCCCCCCCCTCCAACAATTTTTATTTGTTCTCATTTAACATTTTTTTTAAATCAAAAGATTTACAAAAATGGTGTATTCACCGCACATCATATAATTTCATTATTAACCATATTGCTGTCTGTGAGAAAGTGACCAAAGCCACTTTTAAATGGTCAAAGGAAAGGAAATCAGTAAATTCTTCCATATGAAAGTATTCAGTCATTGCTTCCCTTCACACAGATACTAACCTTTGCTTGATTTAGACATTTAGTGACTGGAAAAAATATTCTTTTTTTAGTGATGTGATATCATCAAAGAAGCAGAGGACTTCACACCTGCCTGTCTTCTCTGTGCTCTAGTGGTTTGACCCCTGAATAGTTACAAACACTTAACAAGACTCAACATTTCTTCTTCTTCTTCTTCCCTTATTCTAATTTCTTAGGGTTTCACAGAATTTTAGGGATGCATGTTTTTAATGAAGTTTGAATAACAAGGTAATTTTTTTTAACGATTCCTACTTGCACAAGGGCTGAGTCATGAAGAAAACTGTTTACCCTTATCAGAAGTAGACAAGCTACATTTGTTGGTCACATTGAGAAAAGGAAAACTAGATGTCAGGAAAATTTCAGAGCAAAAGAGGCAGAGCGAATGAACAAACAAACTTTGTTTTTAAAAGTACACAAATTTGGCAAAGACTACAGATTGCAGTTTAACGACTATCATAGAGAGAGAGAGAGAGAGAGAGCAAAGTGAGGATGATGGACAGTTTGGCAGCATAGCATGAAGGTGCAGAAGTGATTGAAAATACATAAGACAGAACATTGTGAACATACTTAACTACCGGTGTCATACAGCAAGCACTATAAACAGAAGAATTC